CCTACTGGCAGCAGGCCTGAGACCAGCTCAGGAGCCTGGACACAGGCAGTGAAGAGCTAGGTAATCAAACAGAGGTTAAGTAGCCATTTGGTATACTACAGAAGCTATCACAAAGTGTACAACATTCTTGTCCCAACAAAGAGTGCAAATACAGATATTACAGAAAAAAAAAGGGAGGAAGCCCTGAGTTTGGAGGGCACTGGGAGTGTCCTTCTCAGAAGAGAGTTGGGCTGAGCTTTGAAGGGAGGGAAGGACTTGGGTGAGCAAGAGAAGGGTGAAAGAAGAAGTGCATAGACAAACATAAAGCATAGTTTATTATACTTCAAATGCCATTTAACAGCTTGGTTCTGGCTTATTTTACATTTGGGAAGCCAAAAATACTTTTGAGAGAGAGAAAAGGGTGAGTCACCAGACAGATATGTAGCAGGGGAACTAGGCCCTTCAGGAGTCCCTCAGTCTCTCAGCACCACCATCTAAGCAGATTGAACATCTTACCTTGGTGACTTTCCTTATAAATAAAGGAATAAACAAAAACAGTGATACAGACATATAGATAACAGTAAGTATCAGAACCATGAACGAGTGGTGGCCAACTACAAAAATAAATAAATAAATAACAAAATTAAGTTTTGAGCCTAGACACCTCAAAAAAGAATTGCCTTTAATGTTAAAGGAAATATAAAACAGAATCACCAGGAATAAATGTCTGCCTATGAAAGCATCTTATTCTTAAAAAATAATAATTAAAAATCCCCCAATTTAAATGGTTCAAAATATAAAAGTCACAACTTAAAATGGAGAGAATATCTAAGCTAAACATAAGCTTAAAAAACCTATCTATACATACAATGCTGTGGTTTAAATATATGTGTGTAAACTACATCACACATGAATCCATGGCAAACATTGTTACCAAACAATATTTTTTCTATTTAATCCTGAAACATACATTATTTAAATATTAAAATTCTTTGGGTTATTAGCCCAGCGAAGGAATGAAAATACTTTTTAAAGCATTTTCATTAATAGTGAAAAATAGTTTTGTTTCCTGCAGGTGCTCTGGTTAAATACCCAGAATGAAAAATGAAACAAACTCTGAAATTTTTACAGTAGAAAGATAGAGTTCTGTTTCTTTTTTCAGGGGAAGGAAGAATGCTTTCATTACTCAATATTACTTCCTCAGCACCTACAAACAATGTGAGCTATCTGATTTGAAAAAGCAAAATCTTTGTGACAGGAGTTTTTACTACCCCTCAAATCTGGAGCAATAAGTATGTGCTGAAGACACAGCTCACAATAAGGAAACACTTGACCAAATGCAAGCAACTTCCCAACCGAGTCCTAAACATGAAAACAGACGAAGGGTTTTCCCTGCTTAAATGCTATAATTATAGTTTTGGGCTTAATTCCTTTTGAAATTATGTATGTAGCAATGATTTTCTTTTCCCTCCTGGCTCTGCCACTTGCTAGCAGCTGATGTGAGCAAGCTGTCAGGCCTGATTATGAAGGAACCAAGACAATGCCATCTGCCATGCTGGGCTCACAGAGTTTTGGGAGGATGGAACAAGACTTGTGTGATCTTGTGGAGTCAGGGCTACACCAGAAGTCATGTCTTGTCACTCTCTACCAGGCTCTCCTGGTTGGAATGCCACCAACCAGATTTCCCAAATTCCCAGCCATTTCCAAAGGCCCAGACAAATGCCTGGTCACTACAAATGTCTCCAGATTCACATGGCAGAGGAGGGACCTCATTCTTTGAGCTTCCATAGCCTCTGTTCCTACTTGATTCCTAGCAGCAAGGGTAAGCACCGAGCCAGAGCTCTTTGTTCACTGGGCTATAATATTTATAAAATATTTATACTTTTAATTAATTAACATTTATAAAATAACCATAATATGTATCTTGTTTATAAACTAAGCGCTTTGCCAGGGCAGATACTGAGATTTACTCGTTATCTCCAGCACCTGTCCTGGGGCCTGGCATGTAGTAGGAGCTTGAAAAATGAATAAATCATTAACTCCCTGCCTTCAAATGGAAGAACTGTCTTGATAAGAGACTCAACAGTGTGAGGAAGGCAATTGAGGCAAATAAAACAAAACAAAAATGTTGCTAATTAAAAGTAAAGAAGAATAAAACTCTGTGCTGGTGATGGTACTTTCACACACTGCCAATAGGGACATAAATGGTATAACACTTTCCAAAGCTGACGTGACGATATCTACTAATACTGCTAGCAAAATCAGAAGCATCTGTCAAGCTCTATGAGAGGACCCAAAGTAGTGAGGCACTCTGGAAAAATCTCAGGCCTGAGAAAGAAGATCCAAATTTCCATAAAGCTACCAAGAGCAGCTGTGAAATATGAGCAGTCCCTTCATGTCTCTGAACTTCAGCTTTCTTGTGCAGCTGGGATTTCTACGTCATACAAAGAGTAGTAGTCATAAAAATGGAGACAGAGCTCTTCGGATTTTAGTTTAGGACTGACCCAAGTGAGTATGTGGGTCCCCAAGTTTCTGCCAAGTTTCTAAGAGTCTTAATTCTGAAGAACTACTCTTCAGACTCTTCGAAA